CGCCCGACCCCGCTCGCGCGGCCGACGGCCGCGGATCGGAGCTGCCTGATCTTGCCTCCTCCCTTCCTCCTTTCCCTCCTCCCTCCTCTCCTCCCCCCTCCCTCCTCCCTCCTCACTCTTTCCTCGGAGCTGCCTGATCCTCCCTCCTCCCTCCTCCCTTCCCCCCCGTCTCGTTGTCGCGCCGCTGGGGGCGTAACACTGGAAGGGGAAGTCGTCGTCGTCGCCGTCGCCGTCGCCGTCGTCGTCGTCGTCGTCGTCGTCGTCGTCGCCGTCGCCGCCGTCGTCGTCGTCATCGTCGTCGGGGTCCCCGACGTTTTCGTCGTCGTCGCCGTCGTCGTCGCCAGCGCCGTCGTCGCCGTCGCCAGCGCCGGCGCCTGCGCCGTTGCCGTCGTCATTATCGCCGTCGTCGTCGTCGTCGCCGTCGTCGTCGTCGTCGTCGTCGTCGTCGTCGTCGTCGTCATCGTCGTCGTCGAGGTCGCCGTCGTCGTCGTCGTCGTCGTCGTCGTCGTCGTCGCCGTCGTTATCGTCGTCGTCGTCGTCGTCGCCGTCGCCGTCGCCGTCGCCGTCGCCGCCGCCGTCTTCGTCGTCGTCGTCATTGTCATCGTCGTCGTCGAGGTCGTCGTCGTCGTCGTCGTCGTCGTCGTCGTCGTCATCGTCGTCATCGTCATCGTCATCGTCGTCGTCGTCGTCGTCGACAAAATGTCGTTGCCGTCTCTTCGGGAGGAAGATCGGGAGGAGGGAGGAGGAGGAGGAGGAGGAAAAGGAGGAGGAAAAGGAGGAGGAAAAGGAGGAGGAGGAGACTGTGGGATTGGGAGGGGGATGAGGGCAGCCACGAGGAGCAGACTATCGACAGGTTGAGGAGCAGGAGGAGGAGGTGGAGGAGGAGGAGGAGGAGGAGACGACATGCTAGGAGGATGGGGGGCGAGGAACGGGATGTCTGTCAATTGGGCTGATGATCGACAGATCCCACGTCAAGGTCCTCGCTGGACAACCACGGGGAGAGGGAGCGCAGATGCTCGAGGAACCTGACTGGCCTGTCTGAGACGAGCTTGGGCATCGACTCGCTCGAGGCCTGTAGGAGGAATCTTTGGATGAGGCGGGGAAGAGGGGACAGCGAGGAAGATCACAGGAGGGTCAGCTGTGACAGTGGTAGTTCGCCTTCGGGGGGGGGGGGGATCGTCGCCACAGATGGACGTAGCTCGGAAAACTGGTGCGCTTGTACCCCAGGACCGAGTTTGAACTGCCGTTGCCTCAATCCGCCCTGCTCCGACAGGAGAGGGCGGGGTAGAGGTGGGAGCGAGGAAGAGGACAGCTGAGAGGAGAGGGGGAGGAGGAGGAGGAGGAGGAGGAGGAGGAGGAGGAGGAGGAGGAGGAGGAGGAGGAGGAGGAGGAGGAGGAGGAGGAAGAAGAGAGGAAGGAGGAGGAGCAGCAGGAGGCGGAGGCGTGGAGGCAGCCGCGAGGCCCCGAAGGCCCTGCTCGCCCAGCGGGCGCGGGAGCGCAGCCGAGGAGAGGACCGCTCCGGCCTGCGGGCCCGCCCCCGGGCGAGGGGGCGGGCGGCCACCCGGGGCCCACGGCCCACCACGGGCCCCAGACCTCGAGGAGGAGGAGGAGGAGGAGGAGGAGGCGGAGGAGGAGGAGGAGGAGGAGGATAAAGAGGAGGAGGAGGAGGGGAGGAGGAGGAGGAGAGGAGAGGAGGGGGAGGAGGGGGAGGAGGGGGAGAGGGGGAGGGATGAGGAAAAGGAGGAGGAAAACGGAGGAGGAGGAGGAGGAGGAGGGGAGGAGGAGGGGAGGAGGAGGAGGAGGAGGAGGTGGTTCAGGAGAGGAAAGCGGCCCACGGCCCACCACGGGCCCCAGACGCCGAGGAGGACGAGGAGCGCGCTGGTCAGGAGCGAAAGAGGGACGCACACGTACATGAATCCACGAGGTTTCGCATGGCGCGAATACGCGTAACACGCGGCCGGTCTCGCTGGTCAAGGGGCCGTGTTCCTGTAAATAGCTGGGCGCGTGCGTCCTCTGTGGGCTCCCTAGCTGGGCGCGCGGGCGGGGGCGCCCCGGGCCGGCGGCTGCGGCGGCTGGCGGGCCGGGCGACGCCGAGCCCTGGTTCGTCGTCGCGGAGCACGTCCTGAACAGCGTCGGCGCGCGCGGGCACGGACCGCGCTCCGCCGCGAGAGGAGGGCCCGAGCCAGGAGCACGCAGTCTGGAGCCCGCCCCTCCCCGCCCCCCCCCCCCTCCAAGAGATCCTCCCACTGCTCTCAGGAGGGACAAAAACACACAGACACAATGAAGCGTCGACTCCCCGGAAAAGGTGGGAAAATACGGGAAGTGTGGGGGAAGACAGACACCCAGAAAATATGGGAAAATATGGGGAATCCTTTTACTTGTATGTATTTCTTTGTGTGTCCTAGGGCCCCTTCGTGCTCAGCTTTAGCTTAGCTTTAGCTTAGCCTTAGCTTAGCTTTAGCTTAGCTTTAGCTTAGCTTTAGCTTAGCTTTAGCTTAGTTTTAGCTTAGCTTTAGCTTAGCTTTAGCTTAGCTTTACTGTTACTACTAATGCTGCTTTCCTAGGGGCTCCAACTCCTAGGTAGGGTCGCACTGGGATAATTTGTATGTATCTATTTGTGTGTCCTAAGGGCCCCTTCGTGCTCCTGGTCCTCGGCGGCGCCCCCGTCCATCGGGTCGATCGGCAGGCGGCCCTCCACACCGACGATCGTGGGCTTCCCGCAGGCCGTGGGCACGGTGACGTCCACGTCTACGCCCAGCTCCTGCATGAAGAGGATGTCGTCGGTCAGCACTGAACGCTGCATACTGCAACTGCGTGCAATTTCGACGCACTGCGGTCCCCGGGGGCGTCAGCGCGTAGTACTTGCGGGCCGCGGCCTCGCGAGCGCGACAACCTGGCGTGAGGCACAGCGGGCTGTGGCCCCAGGAGAGTGCGAGGAGGGGCGTGACCTTGCGAGGGAGCGTGGTTTCGGGAGGATGAGCGCCCAGTCCTTCGCACCAGCGTCGTGGAACGCCAGCGGCAGGAACAGGTCGTTCTGAATGATGCCGCTCTCGGAAACAGCCCGAGCCTGGCCCGAGCTAGTGTCCCCGCCGAGCAGCCTGTATTGGCAGTGCGCCACATCGGGAGTGTCCAGGGCGGCCGACTGCTGGGTCAAGAAGTCGAACTTCTTGCACGTGAAGATGTCCCGAGCCGCAGCCACGATGTGGTCCTTCTCATGGCCCCGCGTCCCCTTCTTCGCGACGGTGACGTTCGACACCATGCACGGGTAGCCCTTGATCATCACCGCCGAAATTTTCACCAGCTCGCCGACCAGGATCCGCCTAGGCACCAACGCCCCGGAGGCGTCCTTCAGCGCGTCTAGCTGCTCCCCCTGCTGCTGCTCATCCTCCTGCGGCTGGTCTTGCCCTCCGCCTCCGACCACGGCAGCTCCTCCTTCATCTTCGCCTGCTCCGACTCCGTCATCCTCCAGCGGCTGGTCTTTCCCTCCGCCTCCGACGACGGCAGCATCTCCAAGTCCGTCCCCCACCTTCATCTTCTCCATTGTGTCCTTCGGAGCCGATTTGGAACCGCTGAGCGCCGCCGAACGAGTCCAGCGATTCGGCCGAGCCCAGGTCCCCCAGCGCCCGGAAATCCCACTGCTGCTGCTCCTCCTCTTCCTTCGCTGGACTTGTCCTCTGCCTTCGGCGAGTGCAGCTCCTCCTTCATCTCCTCCTTCTTCTTCATCATCTTCAGGTCCTGGGCGAAGTAACGCATCAGCAGCACGAGCACCGCCCGCCCGTGCGCCTTCGCCAGCACCTTGTTCTGCTTCGTCTTGCCCCCGAGGTCCTTGCGATTGGCCAGCTGCTCGTCCGACAGCCTCTGCCGCTTGGGGGTCACTGGGTAACGAGGGCAGGCTTCCTTCCGCCAGACCTCGTGGTGACTCCTGACCTCCTGGCTGTAGTCCTGTGGGAGGACCACCCTGGAGCGGACGCTCAGCCCAGAGCCCATGAGGCCCCAGCCAAGCGCCTGTTTGCCCTCCGCCTCCATGAACGGCGATGCTGACCACCGACGCCTCGAAGCCGAGGGAGAACGACCGAACGCGCTGGCCGAGCTCCTCGTTCAGGAGCTCTGCCGACACTTGGAGCCCGAGCCTCACGCTGAGCCCGCCGCCATCTCGTGGCCCCCGCGCGCCCCGCCTCTTTGAAGAAAGCGCGCGGATACCCTCCGAGGGCCTCCCAGCCCTCCAGGGCCAAAAGGGCTAGGAGGAGGAGGAGGAGGAGGAGGAGGAGGAGGCGAAAGCGACAAAGATCACCGACGAATTCCGCCGTCCTCTGCGCACCGAAGAAACCATGGGCGTACGATTGAGAGAAGGATGGGGGGAGAGGAGAAAGAGGACGGGGAGGAAGACGAGGAGTGATGAGCACGAGCACTGGGGGGAGGAGGAGGAGGAGGAGGAGGAATACGAATAATATCAACAAGAAGAATAATAATCATACGAATGTGGATAATACTAGTCAGACTAACAGTAGTCAACATACGACCAATAATAAGGACAATAAGAAGATGATGCGGAGGAGGAGGGAGGAAGAGGACGAGGAAAAGGATGAGGTCCGTAGCCATTTTGGCTCACTGCTAAACGTTGTGAAGGGCTATAGACGCCCGAGAATCAGCGATTAGTTCCGGTCCATCCGTTGCTCTCTTTCTTTTTTTCTCTCTCTCTCTCTCTCTCTTTCTTTTTTTCTCTCTCGAAATAAAGAAAGAAACAAAAAAGGGAGAGAGAAAGAGAGAGAGAGAGAGAGAAAGAGTAATAGAGAGAAAACAAAGAAAGAGAGAGAAAGAGAGAGAGAGAGAGAGAGAGAGAAAGAGGGAGAGAGAGCTCCTTGGCCCCAATCTCTGTCGTGAGTCGGTTCCCGACGACGGCGGCTTCTCCATCCCCACGAGTCATCCACAGCTTTTTTGGCCACAGCATCCGCCAGCGTGAGCCCCGTCGCGGGTTCCCCTCATGCCTGGCACGGGCGCAGATGGCCTCAGCGCTGACAGGCATTCTGCGCAGCCTCGTGGTGGGCAAACCGCTCCCCGTGCGAGTCCGCAGCGGAGCCGTGGCGGTGGCGGTGGTGACCACAATGGCGATGGGCATCGATCTCGCTCCAAGGAGGCAGCCAGAGGCGCGGCGGCAAGTTCGGCAGCTGACGCCAGGCCTGCGGCAGCTGGTGGCGCTCGTCGTCCTCATGGTGGTCAACGCTCTGCCGATCGTGAAGGGGGCCCGCTTCAAGAAAGTGCTGATCCGTGGCCGAGGGCGCACCTCGACACGCAGGAGGTGGCAGCAGCTCTGGTTCCTCCTCGCTCTCGAGGGGCACACTGGACGAGCTGCTGGCATCACATTCAAGGCCGACATTACCAGCAACATCGCGACAAGCGGGTCCCGGGCATTGTGGGTGAGGTCAACGGGCACATTGAGGCGCTCGTCATGGCGGTCGCCTCCAAGCAGGATATGGTCAACGCGCAGGTCCAAGGGGAGCTCACTGAGCTCAGGCAGAGGCAGAACAACACCGAGAAGGCCCATGCCCAGATGCGGGAGGTGATGGAGCAATTCAGACACTAAGTGTACACTGCGGAGGCGACGGTGCCGATCAAAGACTATGGCAGCATGCTCGAGTGAGGCAGGGGCCCAGATCGTCTTAGTTTCGTGGCCAACACGACGACCAACACGACGAATGAGTGAGTGCGACTGGAGCTGGCCGAGTGGATGCGGGACGCGGGCTTCGACGAGTCGGTGTGGTCCTGCATGGAAGTTCCCCGGGGAGGCGCTTCGCGGTGCAGATGGCGGGGGACGCAAATGCAGCGATGCGGAAGGCCAAGCATGCGCATGACCATCTCAGGCTCGGCAATTCAATGTTCAGACGCTCGAGGGCAGGGGGCCGCGGATCTTCGCGGGGCTGGACAAGGCAGGCCGCATGGTGCGGAGAGAGATTCAGACGAAGAGGCTTGCGTCGATCCTGCAAGATGTCCACCCTGAAAAAAAGGCGCGGCACGACAGGAGCAAGGGCATCGTTTGCGTGGGGGGCACGCCACGTGCCCAGCCCGAGATCGGCAAGGAAAACTGATGCGCATATTAAATCACGCTGGACCTTTGCGGCGGCGCAGGACAAGATTTCGGACAAGAAAGCGACGCCGGCGATACTCAACGCCATCTTCCACGCGTCGGAAGAAGTTCGGTAATATATTTAACGCGGTATTCCAGCCTTGGCACGAGAACATGGCGATCATCCCCGACTCTTCCCCATCCTATTACACGTGGAACACGCGCGTTTCTGCATCGCCGACCCTCTATGGGGAAGATCAAGTGAGCCAGGCTGAGGGCTCTTCGTACTCCAATGTCTATTGCAGCAGCAGGAGGTTCACGGTACGGAGGAGGAACTCTTGCAGCAACTCCATCTCTCATCACAAGTTGGCGACGCGTGCGTGAATCCCTCGGCGCGACGCTGGTGAAGTTTCTATTATTCGCACGGACGCTCCACGAGCAGAGGCTGAGGTGGCGATGGCCGAAGGACGTGTGCGACGCACTGTGCTGGTTCCAGGCGATGCACAGAGATTGCAGATCATGGCTCGAGCTGATCACTCAGACGGCACGCGCAAGGAAGATGTTGTAAGTGTGAGGATTTGCAATGTGCACAACTTCGGCCTGAATGAGGATACGCTGCATGAGATCTTGGGCCGCATCAGTGCGAAGGTGGAAGCGGCAGGCCACAATCCACAGCGATCGACGGTCATGGTGCTGGGTGACGTCAACTTCCACGAGAGGGCGGCTACGTCCCTGGCGACGTCTGAGATTGACAAGGGGGCGTTGACGACCACTCGGCATCGCGAGCGTGGCGATGATTGGCAGGAGGCGCCCGGCCCCATGGTGGAGCTCGACCCTGAGGCCCCTGCGTTGCGTCTGAGGAGCGGTTCGCGCAGCCAGACAAGATCTACGCATCGACGCCCGGCTAGCTGGTGCTCCAGTGAGTCATCGCGGCCGCGGCGCTGGACGCGCCCGAGGTGCCCTACGAGAGGGGCATCTCTGATCGCTCGCCGTCGTTGGTGTCGTCTGCGGTACGCCAGAGGAAACCTGAGCATGATCTGCCTGCCCCTCGCCATTTCTGCCAATGTTCCGCCTTCTCCACTTGCCTCTGCTTCACCTTCAATGCGCCCAATCACTTGGAACCCCCTGCGATTGCGAGGCGGCGCGAGCATTGGCGCTTGCTTCGTGGGGCCGCTCGGATTCCAGGAATTCGCTGATCCAAATCGGCTCCAGAGCTAGAATCTAGACTGCGGATTGTTCGTTCGTTTTTTCGAATAGTGAACTGGACTCTCTCTGTCTCTGTCTCTGTCTCTGTCTCTGTCTCTGTCTCTGTGTGTCTCTCTCTCACTCTCTCTCTCTCTCTCTCTCTCTCTTTCCCCCTCTCTCCTCCAAGCTGCTCGCGACGCCCCCTGCCGCTGCAGAGCGCGGCGAAGGTTCACCGGGCACAGCAGCGGCGCAAGAGGATGAGAGCGCACGCGCATGCGGAGCGTAGGCGTGGCAAGCTGTGGTCCCCGTGCTAGGAAGTCTCTTCCGCTTCAGGCCCTGTTCTCTCCCGGGGGCGAGCTGCTCTCGGCGCGTCGCGAGGTGGCGTCGGCGTTGCATCAGCACGGGGCCCCTGCCTTGCAATGGAAGTCGCCACCTGTAGGTCGCAGTCGCGCGCGCCTGGCGAAGCGCGCGCAGCCGCTTGACTGGGCAGGTTGGCCACCATCGCTTTCGACCGCCCGGGCGGCGTTGAGGCAGGCTAAACCCGCGGCCCTTGGCCCAGACGGGCTGCTTTGCGCTGCGCGGCAGCAGAACCCCACTCGGGCGGGATCCTCCTCGACCTCCTCCAGCTCCTCCTCAGAGGGTTCCCTCCTCCCGTGGATTTGAGCTCCTCCTTGTCCACGCTCCCCAGGGCAAGGGGAGGGGCGATTGTCAGCGCGCGCTGAGAGAGGCCGGCGCGACACGACCACTCGCGCCCAAGAATGCGGATGCGAAGGTTCTCTCACCGGCCTGCAACTTCCAACTCGAAGGCATGTTGAGTGCTCAGGCTCAGAAGGACCAGCGATGATGTTCGGTGGGCCTCAACTTTTTGGATCACATAATTCTCCCGGATACCACAGCCAGGATTGCAGGAATGCCCGCCCGAGCCCAGGAGCGACATCCTATCCTCTGTCTCTCGGAATTTGGCAATGCTTTCCCCTCTCTCGCTCATGCCTTCTCTGGGAGCCTCGCAGATTTCTTTGGGTGCCCGCAGGTTTCCGGGCTTCGTGCACCTTGCTGTTGCACATGTGACGCTTCTGGGGGCTCTGATTCACATCAGCGAGATCAGCTCAGGGATGATGCAGGGTGACGACCCGCTACCGGCTCGATGTGGGCAATGTCTATGGACCCTTCTGAGGGACTTTCGGAAGCGCCTTGACCAGCATCCTGGGTCGCGCGGATCATTTGGGGTTAGCTCTTTGGGGTAAGCTCATGTAAGGTCTTTCACAACTGAAGGCGCTTCCGAATGTGCATGGAGTTTTTATGCCGCTGACGTCTTCGCGGGATTGCGATTAGAAGTGCCCAAGTGCTGCATCGCGTCTCTCGAAGCTGAATTCACCCCAGCACTGCTTGCTCGTCTGGCAGCCCTCGCTCAGTCTCTGCTGCCCAAGTGGCACGCTATCCGGATTGCAACTGCTGCGGAGTATTTGGGGGCGTGGACCGGCCCAGCTGCTGGCGAGGAGATGCGGGGTCGGGCGTTTCGTGAGTGCGTGGAAGTGGCGAACGGAATCACTTAGCAGCAGGCCGCCCTCTCCATCTCTATCCAATTCTATCACGCTCGTGCTGGATCCAAGTTCTCTTATCTCTGCCAGTTGGCCGCTCTCCCAAAGCAGGTTGCCCGTTGGGAATCCTGGGCCCTCCACGGTGTTCTTCACTTGCCTCTCTTTTCGGCCCCTCTCCCCCAACTTCTGGCCCTGCGAGGTCGGGCGAAAATCAAGCCTCTTTCGGTGCAGGTTCAGGCTCTCTTTGGCGCGCCAGCCAGAGCACCGTCACCGGCGCGCCGATTCTTGCCCATGATCCTGTGGTGCGGGGGCAAGTGGTATCCCAGCTTCTGGGCTCGTCGATCTTTTGTCGAGGAGCCCTTTCGCGCCTCCCAGGGCTTCAGGGACTCGGATGCGCTCGGGGGCCCCGCCCGCAAGGCTTGCAAAGCTGTTGCTGGGGAGCGGGGGGGAACCCGAGGATCCAGATTCAGCCAGTTGTTTCTCGGCCCCTGGGGGCCAACCTCTTTAAAAGGACGAGCTGGAGGCTACGATCTGGCAGCACGCCTCCTCGTGGACATCCCGACCGCCCTCGGCCCAAGCGCTCCGCGGGATATGTTGGGCTTGTCTCAAGGCGCGCTTGCTGTCCGCTCCGCCTGCCTGACAGATGTCAGTGGTTCGTGATCTGGTGGGGGGGTTGGGCGACGGAGAGGAGAAGGAACCATGCTGACCGCCAGTGCTTTTTTTGGTTGTGCGCATGAGGGTGCGAGTGGCTAATTTGCACATTATATGAGCTGCCCAAGTATGTGGTGAGCTGTGCACGACGCCTGGTGTCCCCACCGCCCCATGCCCTTCCGTCTTGACGAGCGTATGGGTCTTGCTCGAAGTCTCTGGTGATGAGTGTGACCTGGCGTGTCATCGCAGAATCATTATATGACATGTATAGACTGCACGTCGCCACGCGTCTCACATGCCTCTAGTCTGTTCGGCGCGCTCGGCGCGTGCGCAATTATTGCAGCAGGCAGAGATAGGCGTTGATTAAGGGACTATCGACCGAGCTATGTGTGAGGAGGATGAGGAGGACGTGGAGGAGGAGGAGGAGGAGGAAGAGGAGGAGGAGCATGAGGAGGAGGAGGCGGAGGAGGAGAAGGAGGAGGAGAGGAGCAGCAGCACGGGCGCGCCTTGGCGGATGCCTGCGAGGACGAGGACGACGAGAACCAGAAGAACGACGAACACGAGGAGAGTATCGGGGGCCCGCCAGAGGCCACGCGCTCCTGCGCCTGCTGCTCTGGGCCAGACCCATCGGCCCGCCCCGGCCCCCGCTGGCGGGGGCCCCGTGCTCCTGCGGCGTCGCGTGGCAGACCGCACTCGGCATCGTCTGGCCCGGGGACCCCAAGGGAACAGGCACGCCTCCCCACCCAGGTGGGTGCGGCTGGCAGCTCCGGGCCCGCGTGTCGCGCCGCCGGTGTCCCGCCCACCACGCCTCGCTGCGCCGCGCTGCCCCTCCCCCGCCTCCCCAGGGCCCCAGGCGTCGTCGACGTCCCGAGCCTCTCCGGGCCTCCCGCCCCGCAGAGCGGAGCGACGCGCTATCTCCACTTGCAGGGCATGGCGTGCCGCCAGGGCCGCCGCCGCGACGCGCTGCGCAAGAGTTCCCCCGCCGGGGTGGGCAAGTCGGCCAGTGGGGCCAAGGCTGCGCCAAGGGGGACTGGGAGCGGCGAAGCCACGCTCAACGGCTCCTCTTTGCAGCCTCGGCGTCCCAGGGCCCCTGGGACGCCGCTTGCTGTCTCTGACCCCTGAGGGGTCAGAGACAGCAAGCGGCGTACAAGTAAGTCTGGCCCTCGGGATGGGACATCAGGGCCAGGCCGTGAATGGTCCCCC